GTGGCAGGAGAGAACCAATAACTCCAAATTGTTCATTGACCACACCTGCATGCCTGCCTCCTGCCCCGACTCTGAATAATAAAATACAGAGAAAATATATTTACTCCAAAGAATGAGTGCTAACGGTTGTTTATAATTGTTGGGCAGGATTTTATTACAACAAAGCAGTCAGTCTTGAGTGGTCTTGTTACCCAGAAACATAGCTCAAGGTGGCTGCTGTGGCTAATGTTGCTGCCCTCCCTCAGCCAGACCAAACCTTAATTCATGCTCCATCCACTTTCCACTGGGTGTGAATTTTCTCCAGAAGTTTTCTTTATTAGTGACCCAGAAGAGTTTGAATCCTACTTTGCACTCCTGACTGAAACTGTTTTCTGACAGAGATAAATGAGAAAATGATGACGTGCTTGAGCCACTCAGTTAGCAGCTGATGCAGAATTAAAATCAAGGGTGCTTTGCTTTTGAATCATTGTTTTCATAATTTGTTCCAAAGTCTGAATATAAGCTTTTCTATTTTAGTTTTATTTTTTTTTAACCAATCTCTTCTAAAGAAGACATACATACCATAGATTATTTAGATTTTTTTTAAAGGAAAAAATAGTTTTATATCAATTTTACTTTAAAATAAAATGGTATGTTGTTGGAAATTGCCGTATTACTGCCTACAATGTACTGAAGTTTTGGGTTTAATACATTAAGTGAGAATATTTATACCTAGAAACTTGGTAGGTTTAATAAAAATTTAAATTTGGGTCTAAAAGGAGTAACAAATTCCCACAAACATTAAATTTGATCATTTGTAGAGTGTGCTGCTTAGTTTTGTGTCAACTAGATACAGCCTTAGGTTGTCTGGGAAAAGGGAAACGTAGTTGAGAAAATGCCTCTTTGGACTGGCCTGCAGGATGATTGATGTGGGAGGGCCCGGACCACTGAGGACCTGCGACCAGTGGCAGGTGGTTTTGGGTTGCATATGAAAGCACGATGGGTGAGCCTTGGAGAGCATGCTAGCAGGCAGCGGTTCTCCGGGGCCTCTGCTTTAGTTCCTGCCTCCAGGTTCCTGTTTACAGCACCTGCCCCGATTCCCTCAGTGAGAACAATGGGCCATGTAAACCAAATAACCCTTCCCACCCCAAGCTGCCTTTAGCAGTAGCCTTTATCACAGCAATAGAAAGCAAGCTGAGCCATAAGTATATTATAAATATATATATTATAAATATATGTATATATTTAGATATATATAAATATGTAGAAATTTACCAAGTTTGCCTCTATGAACTTATCTTCAAGAAATAGGCTTTTATTTATATTCAGAATTTTATTATCAACACTTAGACTGTCCATCTCATGGAAACAACTTACTTTGTTTGGAGAGAAAAATTTAAAAATTAAATAATTTAAAAATAATTAAGTAATTAATTAATTACAATTTATTCACTTTGTTTTCCCAATGTAGCCCCCTCCCTCATCTCCTCCCAGTTCCATCCTCCCTCCCTCTTCTCCCCCTATGCCCCTCTCCTAGTCCCCTATCTGACCCTAACCTATCAGGTCTCATCAGGACTGGCTGCATCAACTTTCTCTGTGGCCTGGCAAGGCTGCTCCCCCCAGGGGGAGGTCACCAAAGAGCCTGTCACTGAATTCATGACAGAGACAGCCCCTGTTCCCCTTGCTAGGGACCCACTTGGACACTGAGCAGCCTAAGCGCTGCATCTGAGCAGGGGGTCTAGGTCCTCTCCATGCATGGTCCTTGATTGAAGCATCAGTCTCTGAAGGCCCTCCTGAGCCCAGGTATTTTGGCTCTGCTGGTCTCCTTGTGGAGTTCCTGTTGCGTCCAGGTCTTTAAATCTTACTATAGAAATAGTGGTATCATGTTTGTAATATTTTTTTGTCCCACCTCCTGCCCACAATATGATACTCTAGAACAGAGTATCACCAGAACAGGATCACCAGTCATTCTGGCAAGACATTTTGATGGGTATAGAAACATATTTCATGTTTTGAATTGTAAGCATTTCAAATAAACTTTAAGAGCTCTATAATAATCCTTGATTTTAGAGAATAAGTAGGGCCGAAGATCAGTTCTTCTGTATTTCAGCAAATAAGTACTTTTTATATGAAAAGAGACTTGACTAAATGTGTCAATTATCTCACAATTTAAAGCATGTATTAAGAAACTATTGGGTGCAGAACAAGGTACTAAGTTCAGATCTTATTTTCAAAGAGTTTCTTATTTAATTGGGATATGTATAAATTTATTAGAAATAATTAGGAAGAAATTAAATAACCTTGAACCCACAAAAATAATTTTCATTTCCTTAAAATGGAAGAAATATTAATCCACCACGTGAGTGTTGGATAGTAATTGAGGTATTTTGTGGAGGCAAAGTCATATTAGAAGTTACAATAAAAATTCACTTTGCCTATTTTTGGCAATTTTACAGAAGAAAATTACTTCTAGGCTTATGTTACAGATAGGCTCATCTATATATGAGCACACATTGACATCAAATGACTTGAGGTTTGGTGGAGATGGGAAGTCTAAATCTTAAACCTACTAGTCTGCTGGACAAGTGGCTGGTTAAACAGACGGGCTCTGGAAACATTCGAACCCCTCCTCTATTGATGAACGACCAATGAAAATAAACTGCGACACATTATCATGATCCTTGGCATGATGCTCTCAGGAAAGAGCTTTTGCTAATTTTTGTTGTTATTTATTGTTGGAAATACATTTTTCCTTATGAATGACTATGTGAAAATTGGAAGATAGCAGATGGAATGTCATGGACCTGGAAAACCTGCCGGCAGAGAAGTAATTCTCAGTTAAGCAGGGTTGGTGGGGAAGCAGGTGGGTGAAATGACACGTGGTTTAAATGCAGTAAGATCTGAGGGACTGGCTGGGGCAACCAAGAGATACGGCCTGATCATGTAATTCATCTTCCAAGGAAGAGGAGACAAGTGAGAATTCTCCTCACTGTGTTCAGGCTCCTGCGGCAAACTGACTTTTCAGTAGTCACAGGCAGGACCTGGGGTCAGCTGTTAAGAAGCTGTAGTTGCTGTTTATGGAATGGCACACCTTTTCAGTATGACACCCAATGGGTTCAGATGTGCGTGGCCGGGTGGCATGAAGGGGAGTTCAGTTCTGATTGATTAGTGATACTTCTCTTCTGCAGATGTTTTTGAGAAAGCACTGAGGGGAAGGGAGAGCTACAATTAGACAGCTCTCTGCTTGGAAGACCACAGAGACAGAGTTTGATGGTCTAATGTTGATGTATTGAAAGGACCTTCCAAGACGTTTGCTCTCTCCATGCATTTTTATGATACTCTCTTTAGTGTTGGAGTAATTAGTAAGCCATCACACATTTAGTCTAATTGAACTATGAATATGGGCACCTGTCCTTCACATGATCTATTATTTATTTATTGAATTATTAATACTAATGACTAATAACATTTACTCCTCTTAGGTCATGGCAATGCATGATTTATGGAATGCACACAAAAATTCAAGAAAAATACTCCTCTGTCCTAAACTATTTATTTATTTCTTTTAACCCAGTTTTCTCCACAAAAAGGAAGATCTTGGTTAATGTCTGCCCTTATAATATTGCTGAAAATGTGTTTGTAACATGCATAAACTGTGCCAGTGATACACAAGTGTATGGATAAAGCCAAGTGCAGTACGTTGCTATCTTGTTGAGAGCCTAGGGTTTCATGTAGGAGCCATCTCTCCAGCCCAGGCAGTGTATGTTCAAGTCCACCTTAAGGTTATTACATTTGTATAAACATCAGCATAACATTGTTTAACACTACAGCCAATTGTCAATAATACCACTTTCAAAGAAGTTTACTTCTTGAGGACAATCTAAGTGGATTGTTTTTTCTAATTTTGGTCTTTGACTATTTCTTGTATGTGCATACTGCATTGCGATTACTCTCTGTGAACCCTTCTTATCTCCCTCCGATCTCTATCAACCCTCCCTCTTCCTCCGAATTCCTTTACAGGATTCATGACTTCCTGTTTGACGTGTGACCCATTTAGTTTAATCAGGGCCATCTGTGTGACACTGAATGGAGCTCTCCATCATAGTCCTGAGGTCACAGCTGAAGACAGTGACTCCCCGTCGGCCTGACTGTGCATAAGGAATGTTTCATCAGTGAAGGATCTAGGCCCCTGACCTGCCCTTCAGCCTTGCTGTTGGGCTCGTTCTTGCGCAGACCCAAAGCAGACGCCTGCCGCTCTTGTGGGTTCACGGTTGTGGTGTCTGTGCCTTGTTCAGAAAATGCCATTCTTCAACCTCTCACTTTCACTTACACCTTTTCTGCCCATGTCTCAGAATATTCCCTTAGCCCAGAGTAGATGATATAAACACCTTTGTAAAGATTAAGTCCATGAAACTATCTTATATCTATTTGCCTTCCAGGAATACATAGGCTGAATTTCTGAATAACTAGGTGAGAATTCACATATTGCTGCTTACCATTTCTATCTTTCTCCCAAATAGAGTTTATGTGTAGAAATAAGTTTGCTGCTCTAGAAAAAGTTTGACTTATTTTTAGTACAGCAAAATGTCCTGAGATTGTTTTGTCTGATGGTGTTTAATTTAATTTAAATTATCTTTATATTTTCTTGTTACATTGTCCTTTGAAATCACTGAAATTGCCTAAGTAGCATTGTTGTATCTACATTACATAAAATGGAAAACTCAAAAGATCAATTTAGATACAGATGGAGAATAAAAGGATTCCAGTACATACTTAACATCACTATAAGGTAATGTCTAAAAATAGCCATTTGAAGAGAAAAAGAGGATAAAATAAGGAAACATTAATTTTCATACTATGGTACAATAGTGATAAAATCTGTCTTTGTATGAAAATACTTATTTTCTGTATATGTGTTTGAATAAGATACATGATCATCACTACTTTCTGTTTCAACTATTCTGATACATTGTGTCTCCTGTGTGTTTTAAAATATAATTTATTTATTTTTTCTTTGACAGCAAATGCCAGTCTTCTCGGAGGAGGCGGTGGTAAGTCCAGAATATGGCTTAACTTCACGTGCATTTTCATTACATTAACCAGAAGATGACTAGCAAGCTCTGTGATACTACAGCAAGCTAATTTTGCTATTGTTGTCACCTATAAAACTAACATTCTAGAAAATAGTTTATAATAGAAATGCTGTTGGTTTAAGGAATTATTCTTTTCATTGGCTTAAAAGTATGCGCACAACTGTTTTTCTTCTTGTCACCTGTTATGTAAGGGCACACACAGATGTTTATCTGTTGACATAAGCACACAGAGCAGATGAGAGGCACTGCTCATATGAATGCTAAGGTGACAATATGTAGGCTTCATCTTCTTTCTTTTTAACCACCATTGCTTGCTTTTGCTTTTCATGACTTTGTATCTAGAGAACTTAATATTTCATCTACTTCCTTGGAAAAGCACAAGAGAAATCATTTTTGATGCTGTACTTTTGTGTTAGGTAAGAGAAGAAAGAGAAACTCATCAAAGCGACAGGAGAGGGAGAGATTGTCAGCCTGCAGGATTTTACTTTAAATGATGGAATCTGGCAACGATGGCTTTATCTTAGGGTTAGGAGAAGAGCACTCATGATAGAGCAGGGGAGGACGGGGTCACTGAGGCAGTTCTTGCTGATGATCCAGATGCTCATAGCTTGGCTTAGCCTCGCCTTCCTCCCCACCCCCTTTCTCTTCTCCCTGTTTGTGGCTGTTTTTCATTTTCATTTAGGTAGCAGGTAGTAGGTAGAACTGTGTGTCACTTTGAGGAGGTAAAAAAAAAAAGTACAGACCTTAATAGAAGATCCTACTATAAATTTTACTTGTCAATTAAAAATATAACCATTGTTCGATGTTAACAGAAACTTGGAATCTGGAATGATGAACAAGGGTTTTAAAGTAGAAAGTGCTGCTTATGCATCTTCTGCATTTTAGAAAATATAAATGTCATAATTGGTAATGAGAGACATGAAGGCTTCTGTGACAAGTCTCCACTGCAGTCTAGATAGGAAGCCATAAGGAGAGCCCTTCAAAGGTGTGATAAGGGTGACGAAGTTCAGCTCTTCCCAGTTGATGGCTTATGCCAGGGGGGTGGGAGAGGACTCCATGTTCCTTAAGGGCTGGCCACTGGGAGTTTGACCATGGTGCAACGAGTAGATTGGCAACACAAAGTGGGCTTGCCGTATTATTTTTCTTTTTCTTTTCTTTTTTTTTTTTTTTTTTTTTTGAGGGAGTGAGGAGGGCAGAAAGGCGGGAGGATGGACCTGGGAGGAAAGGAAAGCAAGTGTGATGGAGGTGCATTATCTGAAATTCGAAATAATCAATAAAAATATGTTGTTAAAAAAAGAAATGAATTTTTTCATCACATATTTTACTGTATTTTCAGAGATATATTAGGGAAAATTTTCCTTAGGGGCTGGAGTTTTGGTATTTCCCCTCTACATACACTATATGAAAAAATATTTTTAAGATAAATTGCTCATAGGGGTGGTTTCACACAAGACACATTAGTACTTTAGGAAACCTGACTAATATGGTTAAAGTATAAGGTTAAAATGGAGTTTACATGAACACATTTATCAACTTATAGCCACAAATTAGATAGATGGTTCATTTATTGCTTTCAATTATTTCTTAAGTGTGACTCAACCATTTTTATTAGTTAAAAATCACTTCAGCAGCTTATGATGGATAAGAGCCCCTGAAAAATTATCCCTTAAAGATTAGAAATGCATTGTGTGTCATGTGACCTCGTGCTGCGGGAAGCCTGAAATGGTCTCCTGATAATCCCGGATGTCATGGAGCATCAACCTCTTACTTCCCTGTTCTTTCCTCTGAGCTTGCGATTTCAGTAACCAGGGTCTGTAAAGCCTGCTGATGCTCCAGCCATCACAAAAAGGATGTAGACAAGGGCAAATAGGAAAAGCAAAACTGTAAAAGGGGTCTTCAGGGATGAGTCAATTTCCTTTTTATTCTTTAAGCAACAGGTTTTCATGAAATCTCACATGATACTGAGATTGGTAAAATATTCATTCTTAGCATTCCTAGTAGTTTTTGCTTTTAGGAAGCAATATGCTCATTGAAATGAATTATTCTGCTTGCTGTAGAGGAAGAAGGGGAAAGGTTGAGTGTGCCATGAGCTGCATGTACACACCTGCCCTATAATTACTTTTCTGGCCTCAAGTGGCTTTGCTTAAATGTATGTGTGCGTAACTGCTATGTGAAAAAAATAATTGGCTATAGTGCCTGGCTTTATATTTTTTATGGCATTTCTGTCCTATTTGAGAAGGTACATTTAACAATGGTATGATATTTAGTTGTGTACTTATAGAAGAAATAGGCTAACTCAGTTTTCTTTATTGTCTTCTTCTACACAATTGCCAAATTCATCATGATTTACAATTTCTGAATTGTAAATTTAGCAACTCAGTAATATCATAAAGATAAATTACTAGTTTTTGAGATGGCTGTATTTTCACCTTAAAACAGGCTATCAAGGGGTTTAAATTCATTTGAACACTTCTGGACTTATCAAAATTTTTCTCAATTACAAACTTGATTTTTGAATGGTTTTATTCAAAAATTGAACTTAAGGACCATTCTTAGCTTTTGCTGTGCAGAGTTTTGACCTTCTGATTTTAAGACAAGTCTTTGGAATCCTCTCCTTGATACTTGCAAATAGCAGCCTCTAATCATCCAATAAAGACCACCATTACACATATTTTCAGTTTATCAAAGCGGCTTGAATACAAATATCTACATCAGCCGCATGTTTTCACGTCCTCTCATTCATTTTCCTTGCTGTCAGGGTAGTCTGTCCATTTGTGGAACAGGTAATTCTGCAGAGCATGAGTACATTACCACCTTATGGTACCACTGGATAATGCCCAGGCTTATGTCTTTTCTTGTGTTTGAAGGTCAATCAACCATAGAAAACATTGCAATACATGCTTACTCATCTGTAACATGGATGTTTTGTGTGCACAGGTTTTATAAGGTGGTATTTTGAAACATAGAACACAAAAGAAACCATCATGGACAGCCTTAAATTTTATGGAAAAGTACAATTTGTAGGGAGTAAACAACTAGAATCAAAGAGCTAATTTCTTAGTTTATCTAGTCCATCATAAAATAGACAGAACAAATTTTATAACTTATGACTTTAGATAATGTCTATTCCATTTATGCAATAATGAACATGAAGCAGAGCCTATGATTGGACCAGCCCAGGGTCTTGTTTATGAGATTTTCTTCTGTGATAGTCTGTCAAGTACCTGAGGCATAAGACGTTTAGAGTGACAGCTCCCAACAGGGCATGTGTTTATTTTGCATCATGATTTTGTTTGTTTGCCATTTTAATCACTTTAGAATCTATGATAAAAACCTATGGAACACTTTTATATGTATTGGCACACATAATTCTATACATTATTCTTGAAGCTCTATGCCAGATTGCATTTAAAACACCATGACGGTAGGCAAGTATGCCAAAAAAAACTCAGCACTCACCCTGGGGTGAGACCCATGAGAGCCGTTCACCTAATAGGAAAACATGGCATGTTCTTTTGACTTTTTGTGCCTTCTGGGTGTGCTCATATAGGACCAAAAATGGTCCTAGGATAGCAGCAGCTGTTTTGAGGTCATTCAAGAGTTCTACCTGTAGAAATATTTCTATTTCTGGTTTTCTACTAATGGCCATTTTGTGTGTCAAAACAGCCCATGTGATATAGATGTCAAGTGCACGCTTGAGAGAAGTGAAATCGTAAGTCAGTTTCTGTCGCATGGGCAGATCCTGGCTATGAATTTCCTCCCAGTTACATTTATTTCCATACACAGATACTCATGCATGCAAATGCTCATCACCCATTTCCATACTAATATTTGCTGGGTTACACTGTTTGCTGTATCGATTATTGATTAGTCAATCAATGCAGACCTTTCCTGTGGCAGAGTAACTAGAATAATTATAACGTCCCACATTTTCCCCATGATCTAAAGACTTATCTGATGTGAATCTCTTGGATTAAAATGACACCCTTCAGTACCCTAATGGTTAATAATCATTTGATGCTCTCTCTGAAAGGCAGGAGAGTTTAGCTGAGAAGTGTTCTCTCACACCGTATCTGGGTCGTTAGCCAGATTACCACCCCAAAGAGCAACAGCCTTGAAGCATGTCTAAATATGGTTAAGCCAAGTATGTATTATTACTACTGCTGCTAGTAGCAGTATTGTGGTTAGTGTGTGTGTATGTGTGTAGGGACACACAGGCCTGCCATGCTCTCCTATCTACCCTGGGTTCCGGGCACGGAACTCGCATTGGCAGGCTTGCACAGTGAGCCCTTCTGCTGGCTGAGCTTTCATCAGCCCATGGATTGCTTGGTAACCATTTCCAAGACAATGTGGTGTCCTCTCAGCTTTCTCTTCACACACAGTGTGCATCACACGGCACGCGTATCACTAAATTGCTCAAAATTCCTTCCTTCTTTCTGTATTCCATTGTATGTTATACATCGACTCCTTATTTAATACACACCAGGGACCCTCCACATGTGTCTAGGCCTCAGGCATGCTGGGAGGAGTCTAGGATAGTGGCTCGGGGCTGGGAAGCCAGTGTCTAGGCCTAGGATAGTGGCTCGGGGCTGGGAAGCCAGGCCAGTTAGCAGGGGAGGGCATTGATGCTTGCCCACCAGGAGCAGACGAAGCCTGGCGGTGGTGAGCTCAGCAGCCGCTCTGTACTCAGCAGGGAAAATGGCCCAGCCGTGGGCCAGGGGCAGAGCAATGGTCTCTCTGGCCTTGGAGAGCAGCAGGGCAAGAGAAACGGACAGGCTGTGGCATTTTGTTTAGGCAGGGAGGGATAAGCTCTTAAAGCATACAAAATTAGGTTTAAATTTAGACTGCCTTAGGTGGCAGATAGCCCAGGCGCTGCAGGGAGTGAGGCCTGCTAGAATGGACCAGAGGTCCAGATGTGATGGAGAAGTGGAAGGGGACCGAGATCAGGAGCCAGAACA